TATTATTATTGTAATAAAAATACAATGAGCTCCACCTGCAAGTGAAGATCCTAGATTACCTACATTTGGATTGCAGCGCAGCTTCTTGCCACTAGATTACATATATTTAAAAGATTTCTGTCTTAATAGGTCTTTCCTCCTGTAAGCATTCTCTCAATCTTCAAAATTTAGACTTTTTAGAAATCAAAGCCAAAGTGTTTCCATTGTTTTAGAAGTAGTTTTTCCCCCAAGATTTAACTTTTGAGCTAGCTTACAAAAGCCCTTTGAGCACAGAAAAACCCGAGTCTCCCATCTACATTACCTTTTTTTGTTTTTGTTGTTGAAGCATCAAGCAAGCTTCTATGGCCATGCTTTATACAGATGATACTGTGTTCACATTTCAGAAGCATAGCTTTCTGTATGTGTAATCTTGCAGATCACCTCAATAAAGCAAATGTACAAGGCCTGTTTTCTGTTCTCATTCTAGTTGTGAGGTGGAGACTCACAGCAACCCTGTGTGCAACAGAATGAAATCTTGCCCAATCCCAGACCACTCACAGAGCCGCTGCTGTGCTTAAGCCTGTTGCTGCAGGTGGTTATGGTGTTGAGCATGTGCCCCTGCCATCAGTAGAAACTCTACAGTTTTCAAGGATGACCCATTATGTTCAGTGCTGCAGGGCCTCATCCTGAGTTGATCATAGGTCTAAATCTTTGTTCTGTATGTATAGAATTATTGTAGGAGTTTCTCCTTGGAGGCTAGGATTTGGAAGCTCCGTCTCACATACTTTAGACATGTGGCCAGGAGGGACCTATCCTTAGAGAAGGACATCATACTCAGAAGGGTGGAGGGACAGCTCAGGAGGGGAAGACCCAGGATGAGATGGGTTGATACAATAAGTAGGGCAGTGAGGTAGGTGTGTCAGAGTCAGTGAGACTGGCTCAGGACAGGGAAGGGTTCAGACCTATTGTACATAGGGTTGCTACGAGTCACAGGCAACTCGAAGGTACATAACAACAATAGCAACAACATCATTTGCATGTCATTTCAGGTTTTATTTTTATTATACTTTGATTATTTTAATTCCTCTTCCAATTATCTGTTATTTGGTTCTTTCCCCTCTAAAGTGATAATTGAGGCAGGTGGATGTAAATCTTTATTACTCATTATAAAAATCTTGCTTTAGAATTCCAAGAACCAGTAAAATATTAAACTGTCATTCCTTTAATCCAGTCTAGTCTAGTCTGTTTTTCACTCTGTTATGTTCTATTGTACTCTGCTCTATACTCTATGCTCTAGGCTCTTTTGTTATGCTGTTCTACTCTAGTCTTATTGCAAAAGGATGTGAAAAAAGTTTAAGCCTAAACTACAAGATGTTATGTGTCAGAATAGAAAACCAGTCATGAGACAGGGATTCAAAAGTTCTCATCTAGTTCAAACGTATGAAAATGGTCAGGTTATTTACAGCCATAAAAAAAAAGATATATGGAGGAAGATTTCTTTAATGATAGTGGTCCTATTGGGGAAAGTACAAAAATTCTTTCATATTCATTTCTCACCAAATGTATACATGGATAGATATTGGGAAAGGATTTCAGCTCCTATTTCAGAGAAATAAGGAACTAGATGATGATATAGGAGCTGAAGTAAGGGAGACTGTTTAGGTTTTAGCCTTACTTCAAAGAGTTTTTGGGAACAATGCTTCATCAGTGTTTTATGTGAATAAATCAAATGTGGATCTTCCATATTTGGAAAGGTGATGGAACTTCAGCAGACAGAAACTGGAAAAATGCCAACTAATTCCTAGAAACTGTAGGAGCTGTAAAGGAACCAGCGTTTATGTGGCCTTGCCAAGCTGGTTAAAAGGTTCATGAATGTGTTTGTGTGAGTGTGTGTGTGTGTGTGTGTGTGTGTGTGTGTGTGTGTGTGTGTATCTGTCTCTGTCTCTCTCTCCACCATTCAGGACTGGTGAGTGCGAAGTGATTTTCCTGTAGTGTAGTCACATACAATCTTCCCTAACTCTTCTTTCCTCTCTTTTCTCCTTGCTCCAGCTCAGGATGACAAAGAAGAATGAAGAAACCTGGGTGGTTTTTTATTTTTATTTTGTTTTCTTTTTTCTCTCTCCATCTGGTCACACTCTGGGCTCTGTAGCAAGCTTAAAGCAGAAAAAGGTCCTTTCTTTAAAGATTGTCATGTATTGTCCTGTGTGACAAGATGCTTTGAGTTGGCAACTAACGGTAATCACAGTTCATTTCCATTATTTAAGAATGATCAGAACAATCATAAGACCACCAGAAACCTGATCCTGATAAAAGGAATAATTTTCTACATTTTAGAGTGTCCATGAGAGACCAAATATATTCCCTTAGTGATAACACCATGTAAAGTCTACAAGCTAACTAATTTCATTCCAAAGAAAGGTGATCGGACAGTGCAGAATTATTGAACACTTTCATTGATATCACATGTAAGCAAGATTCTGCTGAAGATTATAAAACAAATGACTGGCACAGAACATCAACTGAGAACTGCTTGAAGTGTTGGCTTTAGAAGAGGCTGTGGTGCTAGGAATATTATAGCTAATGTCAGATGGATCTTGGCTGAAAACAGAGAATACCAGAGGAATGTCTATATGTGTTTCATTGACTATGCAAAAGCATTTGACTGTGTAGATCACAACCAACTGTGGCTAACTCTGAGAATAATGAGAATCCCAGAACACTTATACGAAACTTATACTTGGACCAGGAGGAAGTCCTCAGAATAGAGCAAGGAAACTGCATGGTTCAAAATTGGGAAGGGTGTATGCCAGGGATGAGTCCTATCTCCATATCTTTTCAATCTATATGTGGAACAGACTCTATGAGGAAAAATGTGACATCAAGATTGGAGGTAGACTCACCAACAATCTCCGTTATGCAGATAACACAACCCTGCTTGCTTACACTGAGGAGGACCTGAAACACTTGCTGCAGAGGGCCAAGGACTGCAGCCTTCAGTATGGATTGAAACTCAATGTCAAGAAAACAAAGATTCTCACCACTGGGCTGATTGGCAGCATCATGATAGATGGTGAAGAGACTGAGGTTGTTAACAGCTTCAGTTTGCTTGGCTCTACAATCAACACTCTTGGTATCAGCAGCCAGGGAATTAACAGATTAATTGTACTGGGCAAGTCTGCTGTCAGAGACTTCTCCAAAGTACTGAAGAGCAATGATGTCAGTCTGGAGACTAAGAGGTACCTGATACAAGCCATGGTCTTTGCAATCACTTTCTATGCAACAGAAAGCTGGACAATGACTAGTGATGATAGGAGGAGAACATCAATTTGAGCTGTGGTGTTGGAGAAGAGTATTGAATATAGCATGGACTGCTAAGAGAACAAACAAGTTCATCCTGGAGAAGGTGAAGCCAGGCTGCTCCTTAGAGGCAAAGGTTCTGAAGCTTCATCTAACATGTTTTGGACATGTTGCAATGCAGGATCAGTCCTTGGAGAGGGACATCATGCTTGAGAGGGTGGAGGGACAGTACAGGAGAGGAAGACCCTCGATGAGATGGATTAGTTCAGTGACTAGGGTAATAGGAGTAGGTGTTATCAGAGGCAGTAAGATTGGCACACGATAGAGCAGGGTTTAAGGCTATTGTATACAGGTTCTCAATGAGTCACAGATGACTTGACAGCACATAACAACAAAAAACAACAACAAATTTTATAGCCTTAATAAAATATGTTGCACCTGAAAACGTGGTTTTTAATACTTGTTGAAGGAATCATTACATAATTAATTGATGTAAAGTTTCATTGTTAGAAAATAGTCAACACAGACTTCAGATGTAAGAGCATTATCTCATACATGGCTATTTCTTGATAGATGAAAATATTTTAAGTGACTCTAAAGCAAATTGTACTTCTTTTGTTTATCTCCTTTTTCATGTTATCAGACTCTCATATGTTTTTGAAACATTTCTTTTTACCTTTCATCACTTGCTTACAATGTTTCCAAATATGTTGGAATATATTCTCTGCTAATGTTTTTCTTCAAGATTTGTAGAGAAGTTGAGTGACTCTAAGACAATAAATTCCATGAGGTTGTTGTTATAAATTATATCTATTGTAAACATTACTACTCTCTTAAACTCTTTTGTTTTAAATTCACAGTATGGTAAAAGACACTGATTATTAAAAGGTTTGTTTAAAAGTATTTGGTTCAATGAAAACATATTCAAGAAATGCATACACAATTTGTGTGTGTGGTTTAACAAATGTTTAAACTTCTTGATCTGTTTCATTTCTGAATTCTCAGATTAAATGGCAACTCCAGTGTGTGACAATAAGCACCATAAGATACCTTGTTAGGCTGTATAAATCCACAAACTGAAAAGTAAATGTCTGGCAGCAGTTGGAGAAATAGCCCACAACATCGTGTAATCCAATCTTCCACATGTTTTATAAATCATGCCAGTCTTCTGACCTTCTTAGGTTTTCCAAATTCCTAATTTTGTTTGTTTACTTCTTTTCTTTAGGTGAAGCTGATCTTCATAAGAACTCAGAAAACTTAGTAAATGCTGAAGAAAAACATACTGATACACAATCATAGGTTTGAAACATTTTAAAGGCTCCTGCCATTTTAAGCACTAGAGGTAATTTTATTTTTTACACAAGAAATCTCATTTCTAAAATGAATGGTTTGTAGAATGTCATTAGAGTTAACTTACATGCTTTTCTGAATTAGTTTTAAGATGTTTTTTATTTTTCAAAATGAAACATTAACAGATGAAAATATATTTGCTTTTTCAAATGTTCTTAATTTTATTTTCAATAAAATGTATAGTTACTGAGCTTAAATATAATAAGCTATTTTCTGTGAGAGTTTTGTCTCCATTATATTTGTTATTTTGTGCAGAAAAATATGACTATTCAACTGAGTGGTAACAGCAAAACCAGAGTATATGATAAAAGAACATAAATAATGTTTACCAAAATCTGTGGAAATTTGCATCTGCATCAGTGATTCGTTCACTATTTTTTTTAGCAATTAATAAGGTTTATTAGTGAAAAAAGAAAGAAATACAAACAGGCAACCATCGTGTCCTATCAAAGGGTCAGACAGAAAGTTCTCTCTCCTGAGTGAGAAAGAACATTAATCTAGCAGCTTTCCAATAGCTGAGCTTTGATCCCAATGAGCTTTTTCGGAACTAAGCATGACCCATCAGCCTCTACATTTTCACCTGATGAAAGAGTTTTTCCAAGTTGAATATGCTATGAAAGCTGTGGAAAGTAGCAGTAGAACTATTGGGATCAGGTGTAAAGATGATGTTGTCTTTGGGGTAGAAAAAAAATAGTCCTGTCCTTTCTAAACTTTATGAAGAAGTTTCCATGGTAAGACATGGTAAGAGAAGAAGCTTTTAACTCTAGATCAAACTTTGGCTGCCACATTCCATTAGAACGTCTCTCAGATGAAGTGGCCATGTCTGTACAAGCACAGACACATTGCAGTGCTTGCTGGTAAGACTTTCTGGCTGTGGTTTCCCGTTAGGTTCTTACAGTGTGGATGATGGTACCACCTCGACATCACTGACCCACCACGTGCTCCACGTGCTTACCTGGGCTGTGCTAGTGGTAAAGCCAGGCAAGCCGCAAAGACAATTGAAAAGCTTTAGATGAAAGAAATGACCGGCCCTTGATGTTGTTAAAGAAGTTGCAGAAATCATGTACATAGTGCATGATGAAGTTAAGGGGAAAGCTTTTCAACTAAAGCTCAGCTGAGTTGGTAAAAAGGAAGAAAGCAATGAAACATGTGCAAGAATCCTTGAAGGAAGAAGATGAATCAGATGATGACAATATGTAATATTTATTTCACCATCTCATCTATCTGTAATTTCTGTTATATTCAAATGTTAACTATTTAGACCTGTAGATCATTACACATCCTCAAACCACTTCTTTTTCATTTTTTTAAATTTTAAATTTATTTTAATGAAAGTTTACTGACACTTTGGATTTCCATTCATTCGTTGTTGCACTTTTCTCCCTCCCAAATTGCTTTTCTTTTTGAAAATTAAAAGAAAAAATTCCTTCATTGTCATTCAGTCCCTGTTGGTTGGAGTATAAAATGGTGCAACCACTGTGGAAGGCTGTATGGTGCTTTCTCAAAAAGTTGCAAATAGAAATACGATTTGACCCAGCAATTCCACTACTGGGAATATACTCTAAAGAAATCATAACTGCCACCCAAAAAAATATGTGCACACCTATAGTTATTTAGGCTTTGTTCACAATAGCAAAGAGTTGGAAACAACCCAAGCACCCATGAACAAACAAATGGATAAAGAAGCTCTGGTATAGTCACACAATGGAATACTACGTGTCATTGAAAAACAAGGAACTCGTGAAATATTACACAAAAATAGGTAACCTTGGAAGACGTTATGCTGAGTGAAATATCTGTCACAGAAAAATATATAAGGCATAATGCCACTGTTATAAAAGAGGACAGACAGAGGGGTTGGGGGAGACTGAAAAAGATGGTATAAATAATGTATACTGCATTGAAACAGATGAAGGAGAGAGCTGTTTAAAAGGGATATAAGATTAGATATTATTGTTATGATAGGAGTCCGGAAAGGCTGAGTTTCTAAGACCACCTTTATCTAATTTTCTGTTCTAGGAGTAATATTAGAATTGGGTATTTTTAATAAGCTTATTTGTTGATATTCCTACCCACCAGAGTTGAGAATCACCAACCACCATCTTGCACCTATAGAAGAGGTACAGAAAAATAAGTTAGCCAATAAAAGTATCTAGAAATAATGGACCATCAAATGTGTGGAGTTCAAAGCATGACTGGAGGCAGCATCCCAGTGGAGTGGATGCTGCTCTGATTCCAAGGCTGACTGCACTCTTCCAACCCCCAGACTCTGGAAATGAGTCACAGTTGCCAGCTATCACTTGTTCACCACTGTACATCTCCACAAATCTCTAACTCCCTAACACATATTGATCTGTGCCCTAGTGGCACAACACGTAAGCATTTGGCACTAACTGAAATCTCGGTGGTCTCAGATAACTGGGAAAATGACCTGGAGATGTCTTGAAAAGGTTGCAGCCTAGAAATCCTTATGAGGTATTTCTCACCCCGTAGCACCCTGTCCTCAAATACTTTAGGAAGCCTGGTGGCTCAACAGTAAAACACTCAGTTGCTGTGTAAAGGTTAAGGATTTGAACCCATCCAAGAGCCTCCACAAAGGATCTGCTTCTATAAAGATTAAACTCAAAATACAAATTCATTGCTGTCAAGTCCGTTGCATCTCAGAGCAGTTACAATCCATGGGGTTCCGGAGGCTGTAAATTTTCATGGGAGGAGACTTGCTCGTCTTTCTCACTAACAGTGTCTCGAGGACTTGGACTGCTTATATTTTGGTTAGCAATCTCCTACCTTAGTTACTACACCGGCAGGGCTAGAAATTCCCATGAGAAATCTCTATTTTGCAGACACGGACCCTTCGGAGTTGAAATCCACTTGAAGGCACCGAACAACAACATATGTTTTGGAGTCCATGGATGTCATGAACACACACGTGCTCAGCTACTAACTGTACAGCCATCAATTTGAATCTATCTAGAGGCGCCAGAGGAGTTGCAGTGGCCTATTGAATGGCTGCCCTGCGAACTCAGAGGTGCACCTTTCAAATCCACCAGTCAGTCCAGTCTATGGTGAAAGAGGGACAATCAGTTCCCATGAGACTTACAGTCTCTCAAAACCCACTGGAAGGTCACCGATGACTGTTCCAACCTGATGACCAACCAGCTGAGTTATCTTTTTGAGAGACACCTTCAAAAAAGGTCTGGTGATATCCTTCTGAAAATCTGTAGATGTGAAAACCCCATTGAATATAGTTCTCTGCAACACGTGGAATTATCATCCTTCAGAATCCAATGCATGGCATCTGATAGTGTTTAGCATTCACTTTGGAATCTCTATTCAATACCAACAAATTCAAGTACTCTTCTAAAATAACCATGTTTTTTTGGTGTTTTTTTTTAAATAACCATGTTTTATAAAATGATAGTTTGGATGGAGGGAAGGGAGAGGGAGCTGCTGGAGCTAAGATAAGGTCATACATTCAAATGGTCAATTACAGAGATGGGTTCCAGTTGCTCAATTGTTATTTTGCAGCTTGATTTCTCTCTGAGTGTTATACATAAAATAGGAATCACAATCAGTATCTCTTGTTAAGAGGGCTAAATGAGATAACACACGTCAGATGTGCAGTCAAATGACTGACTCTTAATGATCCTAACCCTGACTCAAACTGCATGTGTTCAGATTGGCAGAGCAGCACTTTACCACTGAGCCACCAGAGTTCCCTTGAGTTATGTTAGGACTATACAAATTCAAATGCTTTTCTGAAAAGCATTTTATTTGTTGGGGCAATAAATAGCAGTAGGACCTCTGAAATCTATTTGTGAAGCTGTTACCTAGTTTCAGCAACATTTATGTTTCAATCCATAAAACGTTGTTTTGCTCTTTTCTTCTTTTGCTAATTAATATAAACTGATCTAGAATTGGATATACAATCCTGTGTTGTGTTATTATTTACACCATAATGTAAATTTTTTTCATATTGTCTTCCATAAAAGACATGTAAGAGACTTCTGGACTGTCAATAGCAAACTATTGTCAGACCTGCTGTTCACCAGGATTGAAGTGGCCCCTATCATTACCGATACCAGTTCTTTAATACTCACTGTTCGAGAAGTCAAAAGTAGTAGTATGTGGGTCAAGTTTAGATAATAGATTCTGTTTGGCAGCCAGACTGAGTTACAGTATCTTTTATATAACTTTCACTCACTCATCCATTATCACATAATTGGTTTCAAGTTATAGTGACTTTCCATTGGGTTTTTCAGGCTACACTCACAACAGGGGCAGACTGTCCAGCTTTCTTCCTCAGAGTGCCTGGGGCCTTTGAACCACTGCCAATGCTAAACCCTTGCTCAAGACACAACTTGCTACAGACTATTTCCACTAGATTTTCCTATAAATCTTAAAGCAATTTAAGCTCTTTAGTTGTTTTATACAAGCACACACCCACATAGTTCATTCATACTACCCACCTGGTCTCTATTGCTAGTTGACTTAATGAGTTCTGACTGAAAGAGTGTGTGTGTGTGTGTGTGTGTGTGAGAGAGACAGAGAGAGACAGAGAGAGACAGAGAGAGACAGAGAAACAGGAAGAATTCCAGTAGATATGAAACCATTATTAAATGCTGAAAGATCCTTTCTTTTTATGGTTCACTGCAAAATTGCCACTTAATAATTCATACCCATGTGACGAAATTGTGATAATTAATTTCATTTGGATTTTATTTTATTTCAGGATAATGAGAACAGCTCTGAAACATCTTAAATCCTCAATTTTCAGACAAGCTAGAGTCTCCTGTTTCAACCAATGCTTGTATCAGGTCATTTTATGGAGTCCTACAGAAGGAATTTACAAGAACATAAATTCTAAACTGGCAACTCAGGCCAAATAAATGCACCCAGTTGCTATTGGAATTTTTAGCCAATACCTTTCCATTTCTTTCCTGCACAAT